TCGTTTTTTTTTTTTTTTTTTTTTTTATATTGCTCGTTGACATTTACAAAAATGGAAACACATAAAGAAACGAAGATGCAAAAAAAAAGAGTATTCCCACGTCAGCGGCATTAGCTACGTCGTAGCCATTTCAATTTTACGGCACGTCGTCGAATCTCAATTAATTAATAACTGAATTAAATTACTAACTTCCTCTTAAATCAATGACGCTCAGCTGGATCTCGTCTTTCAGTCGGCGAGCTGGACAGCAAGCCATACGGGAAAGATTTACGAGACGTTCGACTGCAGAGATGAGTGTCTCTTAATGTCATTAGCGGTTGGAGCCTTTTTCCAACGCCTCTTTCTCAACACTCGAGCGCTTTGATCGACGCGACGTTCCTTCCACCAACGTGGAATCGCGACGAGTGATTTGAGACACGCTTGTCTCGCACGTGGAATGCGGGTTCCCGGCTCGCTCGACTATCGGACAGCAGTCGGAAAAAACGCTACAGTCGGCTCCCCAGTGGCGCGGAACGCGTCTCTCAGGGACGATCGTCGCGTCTGCACCTGTACATGGGGATGTACACGCTACGGGGATGTAACACTTTGGCGATTCTTTCGCGGTCGTGCAATTGGTTTTCTCCAATTGTCGCGTTGCGACCGATCGACAAGAATAATGCATTTTGTTGAACGAAAAATACCCTAGTATCCTTATACGGGTATTTTGCCACGCAGTTAACACAGAGAAAAGTTCATTAAAATTGCGATAACATGAGCATATACACAAGAGAGAGAATTATTAGCGTTCTAAACAGGTTCCCCACGACTATGTTTCGATCGCAAAAGACAGATGTTCCGGTAGATAAAAGACCTGGCGGATCAGATCGAGACTGGCGGACGGGAACAATCGGGATCGCTCGATTGCCGGCCACGATCGGTCGGCGGGGGGAAAAAAACGGAGATTTCGAGATATTCCATAAATGTAAGATGTTCGAATGACTCCGATCGGTCGTTGGTGGCGCGGGGACCGAAGGAGAGAAGTAGATACGTCGAGCACGTAGCGCGGGGGCCATCAATCCTCCCGAGAGACGTAGACGAACAGCCCTGGGCCATGGCAAAGCGAACCGACATCAGTCCTCCTCCTCCTCCTCTTCCTCGTCGTAGTCGTCGTAGTTGTCGTAGTCGTCGTCGTCGTCGTCGTCGTCGTCATCGTCGTCGTCTTCGTCGTTGTCGTCTTCGTCTTCTGCAATGCGAAGAGACGAAGCGCGCTCGGAAGCCGAGGATGCGTAGACGCGCCGGTAGAAGTCGCTACTTAGCAAGCAGGCATGGTGTCTTAAAATCGCATCTCGGCCCCCTTCGGGACATCCCCGCGCGTCCCACCGGACCTCCAGATGCCCCCACAAACTCTCAGCGAAAGTTTCAAAGGACCGCGCCTCCTTTGGAATTCTCTAGTTGTTAACATTTAACAGTGATGCCTCCCATGTAATTTTTGTCGCGCATGCCTGTCGAGTTTCCTCCTCTCTCTTTCTGTCTCTCTCTCTCTCTCTCTCTCTCTTCTCGCGATTCCTAATGAAACGATTTAAATTAAGGTGGAAGAGACGGCGCGTCGAGTTCTTTTATTTTTATGGAGGGGCTTTAACGAAGAGAAGACGATTCGTACGCGTCGTCGCTCAGACATAAATCTGAATGTAAATCTGGATGTAATTTTTGATCCGTTGGACGCGCGTCAATGGATTCTATCGTTTAACTCGACTCAAAACATTTATATTCTTGAATAAATCACGTTCCAAGATTTAAGATACTAATATCTCATATTTCGAATAAATTATTTTTTTTTGTCAATCAATCTCAAGAGAGATTCTCCGGCTAATAATTTTAAGATGGATGAAACTATTATCATCCATCTCGATGAAATTCCCTCGTAAATGTCCAAATATTCATGACGTGAATATTTCCCTACCCTTTATATTACGCTGGCCACGAGCGCCTTTGCACACGCGCTATTCTATCGTGCATTTCTCGACGGCCACCTAGCTATTCTTAGTTTTCGTCGAGCGCATTGTATCAACGTTACAACGCCGGAGCCTGCAGTCCGTGCAACGAGGGCGAGGGGACGAGTGACGGGAGGGAGAGGGGGGGGGGGCGCGGTATAGGAAGACCGGGACAGTTTTATAGAGACGAATTCTCGTCGTAAAGACGTCAGGGCCACCTCCGCAACTCTCGCCTGTCTTCGCGAAAATGTTACGAGTACCGGAGGATTCACAAGTTACCGCGTTACCTTTCCTCCCGCGCCGTCGTCCTACCATCGGAGACACACACAGGTCTCTCTTGGTCTCCTCTCCCGGTCGCCTCTCCTCTCTTTCCCACGAAACGACGTTCGGTGCTCGGAACGACTCGTAATTTCGGCCACGTTAAATCCTCCGCGATCGACGACCGAGCGAATTCTCTCATCTGAATTCTCGCGATCTGGTACTGATCCTGTTTTGCACATGAACGAGGAATTATCGTATTATTGTTTCCCGTCCCTCTTTCCTCTCGAGGACCAGTTTCTCGCGCCGTTTATCGGTACATCTCGCGTGCGCGAAAAATGTCCGTAAATCCTGCCGCACACATTTCCGCCGTTTTCGACGTGGCTCCACCTACTCGTCGTGCCAGCTCGTCGGCGCCCGATTCCCGTGCTACGTAACAGACAGAGAGAGAGAGAGAGAGAGAGAGAGAGAGCGCGGGGAGAGAAACTCCCGATGTTGTTGCGTCTGACAAGCTTTTTCTGGTACAATAAAAGTCAGAAAGGGGCAATCTATTACCTTCCCCCTACGGCCTATTCTGGAGGCGGAGAGCCCTGACTGCACCGCCGTTTCGAGCCGGTCGGCGCCCTTTGATCCGCTCCTCTGCCTCCAAGTCCTGCTACTGGAATTTTCTATCCGCTACCAAGACCGCTACTTATTGCCGCTTCTCGTCTCGTTAATTTATATACGTATGTACGCGCAACAGTGAACTCTTCATCCTCCACCTGTCGGCTGCTCCTTTTTTTTTTTTTTTTTCGTTTCTCTGCACTCCAATGAGAGTGCAAGCAACGTCTGTACATCGGACTTTTGTTCAGCTACCGCTGAGTAGAAACAAGCGGGTCTACGTGTCTACGTGACGTAGTCGCCTAATGGTTTCATTATGTCCTGTTACGCTTACGCCGAGATTTCTTTAAATCTTGAACACCGAAAGTCTAGGTAGTATCCTTTCGATCTAGAGAGAGTACTACGAGAGGTGGACTAAACGCAAAACTATCGATGCTAATTTCTCACACATTGCATATCTGTGTTATTTTACAATTTGGGATTAATTTATGTACTGTAATCTATTCATTCCTACGCGAGTTTTAAAGATTTACAATGCAATAAAATTGATTGATTACCTATAGATATCATATAGGTAAAGTCATCGCGCAGACATCGCGAAACGAATGAAGCTCGAGAGCGATAAATCAATCTAAATAAACGTTACATAATTAATATCTAATATAGATATACGTCTCGATGTGGGTTATCGCATCGGCGATAGAAATGAAAACTCGACTCGCTAGACATCGATCAAACACGAAATTTCGATAACCGTTTAACATTTTAATACCGTTTATGCTTTTCGCTCGTTTCCATTTTCCACCTCCATGCGTTCTAAACGATGCCTTGCAGCAGAAAGAGTATCACCACCCTAAAAGAATCCGATGCGCTCGGTAAAACGAGGTCGTAGATCTCGCGGCGCCGTTAGATGTGACACGTCTGACTGCCGGCCCCCTCCTCCCCCTTTCTCTCAACCCTTTCTTTTCTCCTCCTCGACTTGGCCGCTGCCGACTTGGCGGCTTCGATACCCGTCCGTCACGAGCCGTCATTAAGCCCCGGCCAGATTCCTATCTGAACGGACAGCTGAGCCTGGATCTGGACGGCGGAAAGAGTATCGGCTTCTGCGAGCCGCTAGCATTAAAGCTGCCGACGGGCAAGACCAGGGTCAAGGCTTCGACAACCCCTCAACTGCTCGTCAGCAGCTACCAATCGATCAGCATCGCTTTGCCGTTCGGCGTACTATTCTGGCGATTACGTTTACGAATTAAGCACGCACGGCAAATCCACGTCACGAGACTTGACGATAATTAATGTCTTTTCTTACGGTTACTCTTACCATTGCTATTACCTTTTTTACATTTTATATTAAGACTAGAACATAAATGCGCTACGCGCGCGCCACCAAGCTTTTCATATTATATATTTTTATATTATTCGTTGATGATAGCGACGTGATGAAAAATAGAAACTCATTCATTCTTGTTCATCTTATCTTTGTCCTTGTTCAAAAGATTTCGATTCAAAGTTTCATTCGCTACTAGCCTCGCCCGTCTTTTACAAATTGTCATTTGCAAATTGACAGTAACTCACGAAATTAGCGCAGCAAAATAACCAATCAGCATCAGCGGAAAAGCGGCAACAATAAACTCGAGAAATGCGAGTAATCGACTTAATAATATCTAGTAATCTCCTTTTTTATAAAGGATTATTACTAGATATCCTAGTTAAAAAAAGTAGCAGACATTTCTACAATGATTATAAAAGGTTGAATACATCCAAGTTGA